ATGACGGCAAGAGGAACCTCAAGGATTGTATTTATGCATGTTATACTGTTGGAGCATTGAAGCAAAGGCAGCATAGCAGTATAGAAGGACAAAGGTAACTGGCCCGGAAGTAGAGCTTTCCCTCTTAGACAGTCATTTAAGACATCTGGCAAGGGTAGTGGCAGTAGTGTTGACAATATGGTATGGATTCTTAACCTATTTGACATATACACAAGACTGGATTTGGACCCATCCAGATGTTTTAACATCCCTCTCTTCTCCCTCACCCCCACCAGTCAACGTAGCTGGATCAGCACTGCCTTTAGATGAAAGAATCAGAATGATACGCTGCCAGCAGTGTAGACAGCTGGCTCTTGTTCATCAGACAAACATCACTGCTTCCCTGAATCCATGAAAATTTCTCTTAGCATTTTAATCTGAGCGAGCTGGCCCATGCAGAGGCATCGCTCACCTGCTGCATATCCCTGCAAGTAACCTGTGCTCCTTTCCTGTTCCAGTAAAAGGATGAACTCTGCTCATTTCTGAACAAACTGTAAGGATAGATCTAGACCCATGCACATGCAACTGGATATTCTCATGCTAATAATACTGTGTTGTCATCATAACATCACATCAGACTATGTCATGGGTCATAGCTGCTTCTCACCAGCTTTCTTCACACAAGCAGCCTTAGCTGAAAAGAGCTGTGACTGTCAAAAGTTTGTTACTTTTATAACTGCTGAAGGAACTGAAGAAAAAAATAATCCCTACTTCTACATGTTAGATAAAAGGAATGGACAGTAAGGAGATTTGTGGGTTTTTTTTTTCAATACGGTTGTTAAATGATTAAAATAAACTTAGAGATTCTACAGTTAGAGAACTAAGCTATTTTTTAAAAAATCAAAATCTATATCATTCATTTATTAAATGTAATTAAAATTACTTCTAAATGAACATACATGTGTCTGATGACATAAGTTCTGGGCTACTTACATACTATGCATCATGATGTCTGACAGTTGGCCTCATCTTGCTTCCAGGAGTTTGAGTCTTTGAAGTGTTATGGAGGCCAAACCAGGTAGAATCTTGATGTCTTACCAAGAATATTGATGAGCTGGTAGTGAAGAACTTGATTCAGTAGCCTACTTTGTAAGTACTGCACATGAGACAGCGGCAACATCCGGGGCTGACTTCAGATGGCTTGTAGGTAGAAGCCTATATGCTCAGTTAAACACTTGATGACTTTTTACAGTAAAACTGTATCTTATGGAACTAATTTTCTGTAACCCTGTTATGTATCTGTAATTTTCAACTAGAAACTGTTGTTTCAGCTTTCCAAAGTGCCTGCTGTACTGTTGCTGCTTCTCAACAACCAGTATGTTTTTTCCCTCCCCTCAACGACAATTTGGAACAAAAGAAACAGTTTCCCAGTTTCATGGACCAGTAACAGTTGAGACAATCATTTTATGCAGCTAAATTTATTCTCAGAATAGATTACATTTAGATGTGGAGAAGTGGTCAACAGCAGGGAAAATTGTCCTTTTTGGTGTCAAGCAGGTGCTTTACTAAGACTGAACTCTGCTAATTAACAGTAGGTTTCTTCTTTCCTACTGCTGTTAAATCAAACCTGCTTTTGCTGACTCCACAGCACAAGTTTTAGCAATATATTAGTTAACCTGCCCAAGAAAGGAGTAATGGGGTTAATGGTAATGCTGTAAAGGCTGAACCCACATTAGCTGTTGAAATAAGAAAGTTCTGTTTTCCAGGGGTGATTTATGAGCAAGTTTAGATCCCTAGTTAAATGATCTATGAAATGTGTGATAAAATTAAAAGCGATGTCAAACTCTTAGTGGCACAGAACTGGTGTGAGCGATTAGATACTCCACAGCTTTTCTTCCTCTATCAGAAAAGGGCTTATTATTTCAATAGGTGCAGGTGAGACTGCACATGAAGTATACAACTAGGAACTCATTTTACTGAGATGAAGGGAACCTGTGCCCTTCCATGCCATTTTTGTTCCCCCTCTTGAACCGCCCTGTAGGTGGCCTCTGGAGCCTTGTATCTCCCACACTCCCTTGTGCCCCTTCAAATGAAATAGTTAAGTGCCTTAAATAAAATCTACAGCCAGCACTTCAGGTTTAAAAGGAAAGGCTTTTATCTGTTAGTCGTTGACTGTGAATATACATCTCCTTGCTTCTGCAAGGGAGTGCACTAATGACGTGGCTGATGTGGTACTTACCTCTAACTTACTATTTGCATTGAAAAAAATTAAGAAATTAGCTTTGCTTTACATGATTTTTCTACAGACTTCAATAAAAATGCAACTACAAATAATAACAAAGCCTGCCTTTTTTTTAGGCAACCTATAGTGTACAGAGTGGAGAATGTTACAAGAGCACGTCCAGTAAAGACAATACATCAACATAATAATGCAGGATATTTCAGTAAAAATAGAATAAATAAAATAAAAATATTTTAAGCTGTATTTAACAGGTTAATTTAAAATATGGCATCAGACATACAAGGCATAGCGAACATGGCTGCCTGTCTACAGAATTACTGGGTATTATAAAAAAATGCATAGATAACTGAAGGGTCAGTATAATGTCAACTAAAACAGTGGCAGTTGCTCACACCACCCCCTCCCGCCACCCGCTCACGCCAAAAAAGTTTTGGCCATGGTAAAACGAGTGTCTTAATATATTGTTTAAGAAAAGACACATGGCATTGCAATATTAGGCTCTGATTCTGCGAACACCTGGGTGTATATTTAATCTTTTGGAGAATAAGGAGCTCTACTGAAGCAAAAAGGCCACATATAGTCAGACCATTAAGGACAGTACTTAAATATTTGCAAAATCAATGTTTTGTTAACAGACATAAAACTCTTAAAACACACATTGGCAAGTGACCCATGGCTTTTCAAATACCTTTCTCTCTTCTCCTCAGCTCCCTCGCAACTGCACGCTTTGCTAGTGAAAGCCAACTAGATGTTCACGGCCTGGACAACACCTATGCAGGAGAACCTTTACATTGCTGTTTGCCAAGCGTTGGTTTAGTTTAAAGACAGCCCGGACTGCTCTTGGGGCAAACCTCCACTGTGCAGCTGCAGCTACAAATTTAATTACACTGTTTAAAATTCACTGTTGTAGAACAGTTGCAAATCCCCAACCCTGGCATTTCCAGCTGGAACTTTAAAAAGACGCTGTCAAAGTATTTTCTGTAATTTAAAATAAGGTCAAGTTTGAATCACTAGCATGATGACGAATAACGGAACTTTCCTCTCTCAAATTCACGATCCTCCCTAAAGGTACCTTGTTGGGCACCACATTCTGAGCGCAGCGGTGGCAGGAGGTGAGCTCTGGCGCAGCCCCTTAGCAGATGCCGCTGGGGTCAACGCTAGAAGCTCTACGAGCACGGAGGCAAGCCGCCACCCCCGTGCTTTGAGACCTGGCCTCAGGGTCAGTTGAAACCCTTGGTACTGTTTGCTAGAAGGGGCTAAAAGAGCCTCCGGTTCTTCCTTGCCTGCTTGGTGCAGGCAGCTTCTCCTCCAGCTGCACAAGCAATGGAGCCCTGGGAGGGGAAACAATTGCTTCAGTGCCTGGGATGCAGAATCGCAGCCGTAAAGAGATTTGAGATGAGTGGAGGATCAGCTCTTCAGAGGGTATTCTAGAGAGCTAAATTTAACTACAGTAGCTGCATAGCTCGCTGACACCTGACACTCGCTCATACATCACACTGAGTTTAATGATTTTTCGGCATTTTTCAATGCAGAAATTTCTTGAATCATCATTCTTTTCCCCTAAGTTGCTTTGCCCAGGTGTTGCCATTAATTTCTTTAAACAAGGAAATAAAAAGAAAAGTTTTGTTTATAACAGCCTCTTGCACAGCAAAATGAGAGTTCTTGTAATACCAACCTTGCCATTGTTCTTTTAAAATTACAGTGTGACCAGATTTGCAGACTTGGAAGACAGTTACAGTTTGGAACATATCTGTAAATGGAGGCAAAACGTTTTTAACACCAGTTAAAAATCTCTCTAATGTTCCATTTCCAAAATTTGTACCAATCCTGCAGGTCTAGACAGAAGATGGTAAAGGGAGAGGGTCAAGACACATAACTGCATCTGAAAACTAGCTTGAGGTGCAATTTTAAGGGGCAATACCGGGCTGACTTCGTCAGGGACTGCAGTAGTGTGTAAATCAAAGCAATTAGATGAAGCCTTTGGAGCAAAAGCATTTACATCAAGTTGTACCACCTGAAGCGCTATCCTGTTAGAAAACAACTCTCTTATTTTGTCACAAGAGCATCAAAAGTAAAAGAAATCCCATGGAATTTTGTAAATAACAAGAAACACGATTTTTTTTTTTGGTGACATGTTAAGTGTTCAGCAACAAACTTAGGGCAAGGGGGAATTCTGCAACCAGTTGCTGAAGTGAACATTTTGTCAAACGCTTGCATGGAAAAGGTGTGGAATATCTTGGTCTCTGTAAGTGTTGTAAGACAGTAAAATTAGACTAGTTCTTTCTCACCCCAATTGGTTTGAGCCCTGCATGAAACAAATGGTATTTTTAATGAATTAATGACAGATTTAGGAGAATAAATTTAACAGCTGACAGTTGCATTTGTATGTTTTAAAGCTGAAAAGCTTCAGTGGCTCACCCTGCAACTCAATTACTGAAAACACTTTTGGATTTTTCTGCATTGGCTTGGTATTAAACACGATTCTTCTCTAAGACCTTAATGTATAACCAGGAGATGAAATAATGATATACCATGGTTCAAAAGCATGTCAGGGAGATGTTAAAGTGGTTGCTAGACCGATGGCTGACAAACAATTTAAAACTAACAGGTGTAGTTCTGTAAAAAATAAAACTTGGTATTTAATCTACAGTTATTCAATGGTAGCTAATACTTGGTACCTACTCCAGTGTTGAAAACAGAGCAAAGTGCTGTAGGATTTACGATCGGTTTGTGACAAATCCAGCTCAAGACGGTAAAACTATCAACTCGGGCATCATTCACTCCAAGGACTTTAGCATGAGTTCACTGGGAGGGACGTGGCCACATTCTTTTTTGTGTGTGAGTTTAGGTAACGTTCATGTATTTACAATCAAACAGACCTTCCATTGCTCATGATGTAACTCACTGACAGCAAAAAAATTATTCATGCTTCTTTTCATATCACATGATGGTGGCAAGAACGAGAGAACATGCTTGTCTAACATTGTTTTGATAAGGGTAGATTCTCTGAAGACAAGGCATCAGCAGTTTGAAATGGAAGGCCAGACATCGTCAGTTCGTTTTCCTTAGTGTAGCTACTGTCGTCTTCAGTTAAATGTTGCGAGAATCTTCTCTCTCACGCAGCTATGGCATCTCAGTGACCGGACGTTTCTGTTTCAAAGTGTCAATGAGGGACAACACTCCTCTTTTTACGTTAGTTGTAACTCTTCTTGTCACCGAGTCTGCAGGAGGTGGGGGCGGTCGAACTTTCTGCGAAGGAGGTCTGGCTACTAAGCACTTCTGATACCGTAACTGCAACAAAGCAAAAGCATTCTGCAATCCTTACTGTATCCAGTACTTTCACAGAGCACTTTAAATATGCTTTCTCATGAAATAGAGTCAAACCTTCATTTTGGCCGTGACATACAGCCCAACTGAAGTTAATGGGACACTGGTCTGTTAAATCTGTGGGCAGAAACTGTTCATTAGCACATGATGGATACTAAATCATACAAACAGCCCTTTGAAAATGGAAAAATAAGTTTTCTGCATTCAGCTATTCTTGAACAAGGATTATTTTCACTACATGGTCACTGTGTTGTATAACAGAACTCAGTGCAAAATGTTTTTCCAGCATTAGGTAACTTGTGCAGCGGAAGAAAAGAGATCTAACTTACACAGATGTTGCAGAGGTTAGGAGGGAAGATGATTAAAGGGGCACTGTTCACTAAATTGACATTTCAAACTTAAAAATGTTTAGTTTTAACTGATTAAATGTATCAGAATCCAAATTCCTATTTTTATCTCTTCATTCTTTTTCTGTCTTGAAATTAATATAATTGCAAATTTGGAAAGACAATTATTTATGGAGGAGGTGAAAAATCCAAGTGCTACTAGGTGCCTTTGAAGAAGCTCACTTACCATACAAGCAGCCTGAACAGCTTCTGATACATTGCCTGCATTTGGTTCACACCAAAAAACGTGGCACTCAAAATGCTGGTTGCCTGTATCCATAATGAAGGCGAATGTGTGAACGTCCTTGCCTACTCCCATGAAGGACAGGAACCGCACACGACACTCCACCATGATTTCCTCTTCATTCTGATTATGAATCAAATGATGGATCATTACTACTGGATATTCTGTGGAACTTTACTTTCAAGCTTAAGTTGATTAAAAGGGGGAAACTGATACAGTATTGTGGAATTCCTTTTTATCTATCTGCACATACCCTGCGTGCTCAGGCCTGGGCTGGATCTCCCCTGCTAGGCTATCGCCAGAAGGCCAAGGCTTTGAGCGTCAGCCCTGAGCATATTGTGCATTTCAAGTACCGCTTGTTTTTTGAGGAAATGTATGGCTATTATGACTCCAAAGAATACTGCCCTGTCAGTGCTGTGTTAGAGATGTTTGTTTAAGACCTCATCAGAAGACTTACATAAAAGATACTCTTTGAAAGTTTCATTGTATTAATCTCTACGGAAGATGCTCTACAAAAAGGACAGCGATGTGAAACACAGATTTTAATACTACTCTTGGCTTACGTACCAAGAATAAAGTAAATACAGTTTAGAATTTAGGATTGCTACTTAGGGCTTAACCTACAGCATTTTAGACTCAAAATTCCTAGAAAATTTGTTGTAAGTATCTAATTTTTAATTTGTTTTAAGTATCTAATGAATACTTAATTTATATTTCCAAGAATATGCTTGGAATGGTAAATAAAGCTGAAGTTGATACAAGCAGAAACAGCCTCTACAGATTCACAGCCCTGGAAAGAAATAAAATGCAAGATAAGCAAATGAATTCTACTACAAATGAACGCTTTCTACTAGTGTTTATGTGTTCCTGGTTTTCAGCATTCATGTTATGTTCTAAAAAAAGACAGTCTGCCTTACTCTTTCATTGATGACTGTGACAGTAGCATCAGCAACATTCATGGTAACTGGCATCCAGTCTTCTTTGCTAGAGGAAGCCATTAGACTTTCAATGGCACTATTCAGAGTGTCCATTCCTAAAATAGAAGAAAATGCAATAATGAAAAATAAATACATAAGCAAACAATAACACGATACTTATTTGCACATAATAGTACAGAAAACATAGGTTTTGACTCCTTATTAAAATTAATTTGATGATTGAAGGAGGGGTTGTGAAGTTGTTTTTCTTCAACTGCAGAAACAAAACAGGTGCCTCAATTAGAAAACAGGATCACATCTTGTTTAGCTGCTGCACCGTTGCTGTTCTCTAGGGCCCTTCTCATTAGTAGCAGAGCTCATAGTTATAGAAGGCAGTAGAAAGGAACTCCGCCTTCCTGGCAGCTCCCAAAATACTCTGGTTGCAAAACACATGTTCAAATGAGACCCTGAATACTAGACGTCTTCAGGCCATACCCTTTGAAAACCATGCATTTACGCTTGGCTAGCAGAGTTTGCGCCAAGTATTTTGGAAGTCACATAAGAATAAGTGTTACATACCCACAGGTTTAGCTACAGGCAGCATGCCCAGGTACTGGACGTGGAACTTCTGTACAAGTTCTGTCTTTGGTGTTGGGAAATCTACTGCATGGGAACAAAAATCAATTTCAGGCATTCGCAGCAGGGAAAACCACTTTTTTTTTTCATCAATAACATAAAACAGTTTACCCAGTAATTGTGTTCTGAAGGTATTGTATTAAAACAAATTTTCACTCCCTCTGACAAGAACAATGCTCAGTAATTTTTAAAGGAATTAGGAATAACTGCATCACCTAAGGTCATGTTATCTTGCTGTTACATTAAAACCCACAAAATACAGAGGAATGTGTCTCTGAGACATACAGACCAAAGTTTCACTGCATAACTATGTAAAATCTCAAATCTGGTTTTAATACCATCCCTGCTAAAGGGGGATGGATCTAGAAGCATGTAATTTTCTGTAAAGCTAACACAGAGTATGTTTGTTCTTCTGGAATACTTTCAAAATAGCAACTATGAAGCTATGACTAATAAAGACATGCAACAAAAGCAACTTTCTTTTACCATGCTGTAGTACAGCGTGCTAAAGACCCTTAAGTCAGATAACAATCCACTTGCACCTCTTGCCTTGGAAGTTACTAAAATTGATGCTAGGTGGAGTCCTCCTACAGCTCCTCTGAATCCAAGGGATCACCTGGAGTATATTCTGTTTTTAAGGAAGATTTGGCCAATTTGTGCAGTCTCAAGTCATGAGGTATTTTGATGTGAACGAGACAACACGTGCAAGTAGCCACAAATAAGTAAGACTGCAATTGCAAAATCTGTATTTCAAAACAAATGAGGAAATGCACGAGTTGACATAACTGAGCAACGGTCAACACACCCAATAAAAATGTAATCCAGTAGCAAAGTACAGTCAGATACAGTAATTAAAAGACAGGATTACACTCCTGACCTCTCCACCCAACATGCTTCAGTTTGGTCAAAAGCAGAATCAGAAACGACACAGTACCTTGCAGAGGAACATCAAGGGTGACATTTGTCCTCTCTTGCAACGAGCTGCAAGCCATAGCTTTAGCATTCTTCCGTTCAGCCATAATCTGAAGATGATAACGATAGTACAGCATTTTTTTAAAAAACTATAGTACAGTAGCAACTACAAGTATAAATTTACACCTGTTACAACCCCAGTTTCTGAAATCTGAAATAAGTCAGAAGCTACATGACCAAACAGGTTATTCTTTTTAAATAACAATTTTAATTGTCCTCCAGTTTATTAACCATTCCTTTAATTATATAAAGAAATTAAGTGGTGTCCAACCCTAGGTAAAAGACAGATGGAGAAGGAAGAAAACTACCCATTTTTATCAATAGCACAATTGCTGTGAGGAGTAATACAGCAAGAAATATAAATATTTAACACACAGAGAAAAGTGTTCATTATTCATGTTCCTCTCTGATCTATCTTCTGCTGTGTATATTTTTTCCTCCACTTTAATGTTTCTTCTGGAATTAAAAATCCCATACAATATACAACCTGTTCTTCCCCCAAAACATATAACGTTAGCAAAAGAGGGGGAAAACCCCCCCACACACCCCAACCACTTCAAAATAACCACTTGATGATTATTCCCTACAAATATATGACTGAGAAGGGACCCCAGGAAGCTGACGGAGGTTTTCCAAAGCTCATATATGAAGTATTGCTATCTGCTGCTTTACACTATGACTGCTAATTGTAATTAAGCTATAAATATAACTGGTGTTCGAGCAGATGACAATTGGTCTGAAGATGCTTCTAGCAAATGTGTCTCTCTCTTTTTTTTTTTTTTTTTTTTTTTTAAGTATTTTGAAAGTATTTTCTGTTACAGGGACACATGATAATATTCCCCCCGCAGATGAAATGCGATACACACTAGCTTAGGAAGAAGCCCTGACTCAGCAAAGACGTCCAGTGTGTCCATTAGCACATGCCAAGTGCTTCCCTGAATCAGGATTACATCTATTGCTGAATTACAAAGGAACATGCTCTACTTATCAACACCATCCTGTTTTATTGTGTTATTATTAACTATGGTTTTAAATGCTTAGTTGCTCCTTACTCAAAATTAACGCCAGGAGTTTCATGGCACAGTTACATATGCGACAGCTCTGCTGCCTTTCTGATGGCCCTGTGGGGCATACAGCACTATAGCTACCATGGCAGCTACTTGATGTTGACCTTACTGGATGAAAGCAGCTGTGGTAGGGCCTGTGTAGCATATTTTTCCCTGCTGGACTTGCTGGAAACATCTGTGAGAATTGAGAGTCAGAGGAGAAAGCTGAGGGACATACCAGGTCTAGGCTTCTCCAGTCAGATGCTTGGTGTCAAACCTCACCAAGCACAGCCTGCAGCTCCAGGGCCAACCTCAGCAGCTCCCCGAGTCCTGCCACCGGCACTCCCGCAGGCACCCGAGCCCGACAGACCTGCCCGGCTTTGCACAGTTGCTGGGCTCTGTTCTGCCTCTGCCTCAGGCAAAACTCTGCTGCCCAGAAGGTTATGGTAACGCACACCGTGTCAATGCTCATGCTGTTTGCGTGAAACATCGCAAGTTCAGTAGCCACGGCTGCGGTGTTGCAAAAATGAAAAATGTTTAGACTAGACAACTGGCTACAGAGGGAAATTTGACATCACTGATTCCATTCACTAACACGAAGGCAAAATGTAAAAAGCAAATGACAGGCATACAGTAAATCAGCAGAATTTTAAAACCTGAAGGTTTCCTAACTAGCTTTTCTAGAAGAGCTGTGACTCACGAGGAGGGAAAAGTTACACAAGGATAACCGATAAGGTTATTCATCCCCACAGCCCACTTTTCCTGTGGTGCAAACCGACATGTCTTAAGGAAAACCAAAATAAACAGCATAATATTTTTAAAAAGTGGGATGCAGCCTCAAATCCACCATAGCTCAATAAAAGAATGAAAAAGAGTTCCAAGTAGATTGGTTTAACTGCCTCTCTATAAAGCATTTCAATCACGTTTGCCTGATGTAAAGGATGTATTGCCTTGCTACTGCTGCATGAAATGACCATACAGAGGACACTCATGAACTGATCATGCAAGAAAACCAAAATTAATAACCAGGGTATGGTGGCAAATCTGGAAGGTAAAACAATTGAAAAGAACAGTCCTCTCTAGTACTAAAGACAATGCTACCACAAGCAGGAACTAAGATCCTTCAGTGTTTGTAACTAGAGTAGCTTAAACCCCCTCTTCTCCCTGATTTTTTTTTTTTTAAGTGAGCAGAGTAATGTTAGCAACTATTTTCCTGTCTGTCCTGCAGGATAATACCATTGAATGATAGCATTTAAACAAGGTCCGATTTATTTACGGAGTTTAACGTCACCATTTATTATTAATTGAAGCTGTATGTTCTTTTTCCATTTTGAACTCGCAGCTTCTTTATTATACAGGAAAACCTCCAGTCTCTATACACTCCTGTCAAATCAAAAGCACATATCATCCTCCTCAAATCTAAATGCTCACCTTCCCGTTACTCCCATCCATTCACATCCTTTCCTTTACAAATTCTCTACACTATTTCTCATTGCCAGTGATATAAACTAAACTAACACTGCACATGGTTGCTGATTGTGTGCATTAGGCTCAGGGACCTCTAAACAGATGAATGCATCTGACTTTAAATCCACTTACCTTTGAGCAGATTTCATGTAAACTTGTGGCGATGGCTTTTGCAGGTGTGTCACATCGAAACACATGACATTTCAGAATTCTTGTGTCTTTGTCTCTTGCCACATAAGCAAAGTCTCTGTGTAAACAAAATGAATTGACACATTAGAACCAAGCAAAATGAATTAATGCATTAGAATCAGCAGTATCTCCAAAACAGCAAGTCCTACTTCGATTTAACATGTATGTGTTTTCGCTGTCAAAGAATAAAACACGTGCCTTCGACAACGCAGATCTACAAATGTAATAAACAGCATAGCCATGAAACACATATCTAAAGTTTGGTGCTTAATCTATATAATTAACGAGCTCATTACAGTTTCCTAACCCTGGCAACTTACTGAATATACAACCCATAATTCCAACTGTAATTGGTAAAATTTACTCAAATATTTTATTGAAGATGAAGTAGGAATTAAGACAGAAAACCCATGCAGTTCAAATGCTAAAAAAAGCTGAGAAACAGCATACAGGATTCTAGTTAGAGAAAAATCGTATTTCAAAGGACTGTATAAAGAGTTTAAAATACACAGATAGTAATTAGAGATCTGGTTGCATAAGGTAGATGTGAACCTGCTGAGCTTTGTTCACACTAATTGGCCTAAATTTCTGACCTTATTTTTTCAAAAGTTAAATAAAGCTACCCTACAAAAGAGATTTTTGCACCATTCTGGCTAGTCACCACAACATAGTATAGCTTTCTAGTATGGGCGATGGAAATGCCAGGATTACGTTTATTTGTTCTCAGGCTGTTTAAGATTTGGAGCTCTTCTGAAAAAGTCAAAATGGGTGCATGGTGTAAAGAAGCATCAGAATTTGGATACATCCCAATGTTTTGGATACCAAGTTAAGGAGTGCCCCTGCTCACAGAGCCCATCACCATGGTCCCCTAGAGTTAATTTGCCTTCATGACCCTCTTGGGACAAAGACATCCATTAACCTGTTCACGGGTGGGAACCTGAAGCTGGTTCTGCAGCAGGAAAGGTGTGCAAGGATGGCAACTAGGCAAAGCCAGGCTTCTTCCCGACTCAGCTATCTTCTTGCTGTATGAGACTCTGCACTTGTTGGTCTTGCACCTCTGCCCTTTCATGTCCTCTGAGCAACCACAGCCCAGTCCTACTTCGCGACCCTCTGGCTGTCTCCAGATTTCTCTGGGACTTTGCATCCCTAGCAGGGCGATGATGAGTAGCTAACTAGAGTTAGACCAAGCAAGGGAAGCTGGAGCTCCCAACAGCCTCTTATGCCTGAAGTCTCTTTCCAGTGCCTTTCCTCTTTACATGTAACTAATTACCAGCAAGATCCCAACTGAAGAAGAGATAGGAGGGATATTCCAGGTAGATAAAAACCCATGTTGTCCCTCCCCTCCTATAAACCACAGGTTTTATATACAGAAATACTTCAGTTTATATTAAAGTCTGTAAATATCCCGAGCAGGGTTTAATGTAGCATGGATTGCCAATTTTTTCATTCACTGTAGAAGCCCAGTGAATTGAAGAGTTTTGTACTGAAGTTATCCAGAGACCGTAACAGATGGATAGCTGGACTTCCAGCTCTGCATGAGATACGAATGTTGTCCTGCAGTTAAGTACCTCACCTGTGTCTAATTCAGCAGCACTAGATTTTGTCACAAATGAGTCCTGGCAATGAAAGGGGCACTTGCCCACAGCCTGGGCTGCTCAGTGACAGGCACGGGTTGCTCCTCTGTGTAACTGCCTTGCAACCTGAAGCCTGATAAATAATACTTAAAAAAACCCCACAAAACAATCAGGAGCTGAGACTTGGAAACAATTCCACATGACAGAACCGTGCAGAAACACAGTGGAGCTGGAGGGACCTCTCCATATACAGGCACAGCAGAGACAGGAGGCAGCAGGGCAGCACGTGGAGCGTGTTGCCACCTGAACCCTTCCTGCGCTGGGAGCGCAGCCCACAGGCTGCTGCGGCTGTTGTGGGCTCCAGCACTGCCCTCACGTGCGACGCAGGCACCCTGGGGGGGGACAGTGTTTCACCCGCTTGCTTGTGACTTGCGGGGGGGGGAATCACAAAGATAGCACCTTCCTGGATTATTGCTATTACAGAAGATGCCCTGAGGTTTCCTAGCTCTAGCCTGACCGCCCAAGCACCTTGGCCACAATCTTTAAGAGCCATTCTGCAAGTTCACAGAGATGCTGAGTTCCAGCTGGAATCTTGTTCCTGGAAAAAAGCTGATGCTTTTTGGCTCATCTGTACATGTACGAAGCCTTGCTTTACAAGCGTTTCCTCCTAGCTTAATGTTTCAAAAGCAAATTGAAGACTCCTAGCTGTACTCTAGTAATAAGACTAAGAGAAGGGGGTATGGCTCAGCTATGGCCTAGGAAAAATTAGCAGCTACGGTGCGAAAAATGAAAGCAAGCACCACATGAAAAACCTTTGAAATTTCTGCCTTTTGAAGTAAGATTTCAACATTACTGATGCTCCTGAAAGATCTGCAGAGCAGGTATTTCGAAATGCACAGGCTCACAAAATCCCACATACAATATCCTGAGCTGTGAAAAGACCATCCCTGGTTTGAGAGCTGTTAAGTGAAGAATTTGCAGACATCCTAAGCATTTGGGATTTTTGTTTTCTATGTGTTTGGCTTTAGCTACCATCCTTCAAATGCCCTAAGTTTCAGACTTCATATTTTTGACTCCAAATACCTTCCCTTACAAATATTTTACTGTTCACTTAACAGACACTATTCTATTCTTTCAGAGTGCAGACGTAACAGCTGAAACCTGCGTTCGCATTAACTTAAAATAACCTTGAAAGCCATCCATGTGACCATTACATAGCTATTTATTACCATTTACAAGCATTTACCTCCAATCAATATTATTCCTTTGAGGACTTGTAAACAAGTGATTTATGCATTCCTTTACGAGATGATCCTAGGAGGAGCACCCTGTGTTGATTTGCCAAGTTGCCTGAACTGCGCAGAAGCCTGTTTGAATAAATGGAAATCTGCACAGCCCTAGGAGCACTGTACAATACCAGAATTTCTAATTATAAGGCCACCACCTTCAAGGAGTTGCACACACACAGAAGATAACTTCCCCCTTCTGTTAGCCATACACCTACCTGTAAGAACCTTCTACTATTGTAAATAAAAACTGACATGGGACAGAACCACCAAAGCAAGTCATCTGGGCTTGGAAGACAGAACACATTGCCAAGCAAAACCCATTTGTAACAGTCCAATAAACTGTGGTCCAACCTTTGATCGGTAGCTCCGGCAATGCCCTGGCACACTGCAACTGCCCCAATAAACTGCTGTGCTTTGCTGTAGGAGACATGTCAGAAAGGGCACCTCCACTGCTCTGCCAAGTCCCTGATGCATGGACAACCCCTGTGGCCACATTAAGTCTCACCCTGCAGAGAGTTTATCTGAGACCCAAGCTCAGCTGCAAGGACTTCCAGCCTTAAGGGAACCCGTAAGATAATACTAAATGCATTTAGTCAGCACGTTAACTCCCAGTGGAGGTAGGACTAAAGGACTGCAGACATAAAAATGAGCCAAACAATTAAAACTGTGTTACCACAGATAAATTCTGTCAGGATCAAAGATTTTGGTTATAAAAGAACACAACTCATAATTATGCCCCATAAGTGGGAAACACCTTAGATGAGAGTATTTTCAACAACATTTTAAAGGCAGAGAGGTGGACTGGGGGCAGACTGCTGAGTCTCATTTCTCTCACAAGCATAAATTTGCTTTTCTGATCAAAGGAGACCAATGTGGAGGGCAGTGCTGACCTTTAATGAGCTTGTACGCTTTTCAGCAAGAACATTTCTCTGTTCTGGATGGCTAATGACAGCCAAATGAATGAGCCACCAGGCAGAGCCCAGCTCAGTATCCTCTCTGAATGGCAAGACCTGCGGTGAGGGCAGGGAGGAGTCTGATGAGTATTATGGATGCAGTATCTGTAGTGGGACGCTCCAGGTGACAAGGGGGCTCACCTGCCACTTTAGTCCTGCCACAAAAGTGCTTGCAATCCTTTTGTCCCTGCAAGAGGAGGATGACAACAGTCTTGATGAGACAGACCTGCTCTGCACTTGTCAAAGGGTAGATACTGCCCATAAAGATGTTATTTTTAGTCAAACCACAATGTGTTGATTTTCTGATGGAGCTGGTAGCGACCCTACATATATGCCACCTAACGCTTTCCTCCACAGACTGCTACAGGACTTTTTTCTAATGGTTTGGAAGGGACCTCATCTAGTCCAACCCCCCTGCAGTGAGCAGGGACATCTTCAGCTAGACCAGGCTGCTCAGAGTCCCATCAAGCCTGATCTTGAATGTTTCCAGGGTTGAGGTATCTAGCACCTGTCTGGGCAACCTGTGCCAGTGTTTCACAACCCTCATGGTGAAAAATTTCTTCCTCACAGCTAGTCTAAATCTACTCTTTTAGTTTAAAACCATTACCCCTTGTCCTGTTGCAACAGGCCCTGCTAAAATGTTTGTCCCCTTCTTTCTTACAAGCTACCTTTAAGTACTGGAAGGCTGCAAAAAGGGCTTCTGGGAGCCTTCTCTTCTCCAGGCTGAACAACCCCAACTCTCTCAGCCTGTCCTCACAGGAGAGCTGTTCCATCCCTCGGATCATGTTTGTGGCCTCCTCTGGACCCGCTCCAACAGGTCCATGTCTTTCCTGTGCTGAGGGCTCCAGCGCTGGATACAGGACTCCAGGTGGGGTCTCCCCAGAGCAGAGTCAAGGGGCAGAATCACCTCCCTCGACCTGCTGGCCACGGTGCTTTGGATGCAGCCCAGGATATGGTTGGCCTTCTGGCCTGTCAGCACACCTTGCCGGCTCACGTCCAGCTTTTCATCCACCAGTACCCCCAAGTCCTTCTCGGCAGGGCTGCTCTCGATCCCTTCATCGCCCAGCCTATATTGATACTCGGGGTTCTTCCTGAAGACATGTTGACACCTCAACTGTTTGCAGCATGTCTCTGGCATGTGGCCTGGAAAGCCCCCGAGGCTGTGAGAAATGTCTCTTTGTCCCATGAAATTCCACTCGAGTTGAGACACCTTGAGGAAGTGCCAGAAGTGCCACTTCCTGC